CACCCATTTTGAATAATATTGAATGAGTTCCTTGTTTTTCAATGCAGCATAGTATTCCATTGTGTGAATATACCACAGCTTCTCTACCCATTCATTTGTTGATGGGCACCTGGGTTGTTTCCAGCTCCTTGCTATTGTGAACAGAGCTGTGATAAACATCGGTGTGCATATATCTGCTTGGATGTCAGTTATGGTCTCTTTGGGATATATTCCCAGTAGTGGAATTGCTGGGTCAAATGGTATCTCTATTTGCAACTTTTTGAGAAAGCACCATACCGCCTTCCACAGTGGTTGCACCAGGATTGAGAAAATTTTTAAAAGCATGCTGTGGTTATGGTAGTGTTGTCTGTAGGGAGTTGCATAACAAAAGTTTACAGGATACTGCTCAACCTCTAGAAGAAAAAGACTGATAACCCAACTGCAAAATGGGCAAGAGACATAGACATAGAAAGATTTTTCACAAAGGAGGACATTTGGATGGCCAACAGATACATGAAGAAATGCTCAAAATCGTTGGCAATAAGAGAGGTGCAAATCAAAACCACAATGTACTGCTAATTCAAATATGGTACCTTTCCACTTGTTTAAATCCACAAGCTGCTCTGTGGGGGAAAGATGGGCAGTCTCCTCCCGTGACATATACGGCCTCTGTAAACCCACTGGAAGTTTAGTGATGAGTCACTTTAGACTCAACTACAATGAGTGAGTAAGTGAGAGGTTATCTACTTCTTTAAACATGTTAGCTTGCCTAATGCTTTTTCACTGTATAAATACAAATTTATATATAAGAGCCTGTTATTGTGATTGTTGTTGTATATCACCAAATCAGAACCAGTCAGAACCACTGACCCTCCAGTGGGTTTTCAGATACAGTCGATTGTATGAGAGGAGATTGCCCATCTTTCTCTTGAGGAGCACCTGGTGCATTTGAATCATATGCCTTTGGATTGGTAGCAGTTCATTACCACTAAGCCACAGCTTCCTATAAAACCATACTCTTAATCTTTTTTGTCATTTTTGTGGTGAGTGACATCTATAATATTGATCTATCATTTTTGTTTTTGTTTATTTTTGTTCTTCTGTCAGGGGCTGTATATTTAAACTCATGTAACAACAGTAAGAAATTCAGATCCATAATCAGGATTATGTTAGCATAAAGACATTATTAACAATATTATTATTTATGTTCTAGTGGCATAGTAGATTAAGTGTCATGCTGCTAAGAGAAAGGGAAGCAGATTGAGCCTATCAGGTGCTCTGTATGAGAAAGGTAATGTAGCCTTCTCCCATTAAGATTCACAGCCTCAGAATGGAAGGTTGCCATGAGAATCAGCCCGATGGTAGTTAGTGGGATATTATATCTGTGTTAATAAAACCTCAGTTTGCTCTTAATTCTTAAAAGGTTTTTTTTTTTCTATAATTATATTTTATTAATTTTCAT